TCACCATTTTCAATTTTTCAAATCAATTTGTCAGTACGTTTTTGACATTGTACAGCAGAATGAATAGCACCATCGTGTTCCTGAGCTCAAACTGCATCTGATAGACATTTTATTTTTGTTTGAAATTTTGTAACCTCAAAATCTGACCTTTTTGGCCTGAAAGTGACCTGAACTCAGCGATTGTCAGCTGAAAATGGCCTCAAATGACACAGACGACACTGTTTTCGAAATCTATGGGCTCTATGGCTGAAATGGACCATAAAACATGTGTTACGTGACCGGTACATGATATAAAATTTTCGTGACCTAGGATGACCTGGCCTTAACCTGAGAAATTTCAAAGGCAAGTTCAGTGCCATCATGGTATCTAAGGCATAAATCAAGGAACGCGTAAACTAAAAATGAGTCTGATCGGACTTGTTAGCCGGCGGCCAGAGCCTAAATTGTGAACAAGCCAAAGTGCTGATAATTTTTACTTTGACCTGACCTGTGACGTCATCGGTGACCTCGAGGTCAATGAAATAAGATTTTGTTCAGCAGGTTTTTAAGGACTGTCAGAAGCCGTTTGAATTTTTGACGATAGGCCGAGTAGTTTCGGAGATAGGGGGGCACTGTAGAGCCCCCCCCCCAGTGCCTTGGGTTTATAATATTGTTGATAATTCTTTATTTTTTTATAATATTGTAATATTGTAAATATAATATACAATAGGTAATTACCAAACGAGATGTTAGGCAATATGCATATCAAAGATCGTCTAAATCAAGCAAATTCAGCAAGCATTAGCTCATTAGCTCTGGTGGCGTGACTTTTGGGCTGACCTAGGAAGTGACTCGAATTTTTATTTATGATATGTGATTATCCTTGGTTAAAATACTTAGACAGAAAACGGTTAAGTTATTTTAGGATATTAGGTACCGTAAGTCATGTGGACGATGTCTGTTTGCTCTTTTTTTTTTTTGCATATTGCTGCCGGCTTTTGGCCAATGGTTCCCGATGCTAACCCGCGCCCCGTAGGGCTACCGGCGGACCCTACCACCCGTAGGGGGGGGGGCGTTTCGGCCCCCCCTAAGATCTCGGAAAGTTACCGGCCGATTTTCAAAATTCAAATTCAGATTTTCACCGTTCACAGGCAATTCAAGAAATGTGCTGTGAAAGCGAGTAAATTGGTAATTTATTGAAAACCATCGATGGTACATTGTTCGTCAAACACATACTTTGCTATCTGAGGTCACTGATACCAGGTCAGGTCACAGCGAGGTCAGGTCACCGGGGGTCACAATATGAATGTGTCGTGTGATACATGTTTTATGGTCCATTTTACATGACAAATGCGATTATGTGGGTTAGGCAGCCTTTGGGGCCAGCCTAGGTCACGTTTTGGTGAAGGTCAGGTCAAGGTCAGGTCAAATTAGGTCAAATTTTAAAGTTGATATTTTTGCATAAAATGGGTATCGATTCGATGCAGCTCGTCACGGGGAGTCTAATGGTGGTCTTCGTTTTGCTCTACGAGTTCTAGAATTGCCAAAAATTGAGTTTGAAAATTTGACGTCATCATTTTTGAACAGTTTTTTCGCTATAACTTGGCCAAAAAACGAAGTATCGATCTGAAATTTGGTATGTGGATAGAAGACGGTAGGCACTATCACATATATTCCGGTTTTTTCGAAACTCAAAAAACTTTTTGGATTTTTTGGCGAATATATCCAAAAAAATGCTTTTTTGATTTTTGGGGGTCAAAACTCAAAAATTTCAAAAATTCGAGATAGCAGTTTTGTAGCCCTGTCAATTCTACACCTTTTATGTCTTGATCATTTTTCTGTATCTTCAAAGCTGTAGTCCTGACAGGTCTTCTCGCGAAGGTCTTTTTTCGGTCGAAAATGACAGAACATGACGTCACTCTGACGTCATTTGTGGCCAACCTATCATAGCCTCTGGAAAAAATTTTTGGTCACAATGTGTAAAATTGATGCCCGGAGGGGTCCTGAAAGTTTGGTGGCGATATCTCCAGCCGTTTAGGAGATATCGACCGAAAAGGACAGGGGGGGGCCGTTTCGGCCCCCCCCCCCTACGGGGCGCGGGCTAAGGGAGGGGGAGGTGGAAGCAGTGACCCCAAAATATGTCTGATGTGGACCCTGGCCGTGAGTCCATAAATAAATTCGCGAACATAACTCAAAAGTTCGACTCTAGTGCAGGACTGGTTTCGTGCGCGTCCAGACACTGCAAAATGCACATAAGATATTATAATTCTGCTCTTGGCCGTCTGCAACCGGTTAGATGGTGTGAGGGTTACGCAATGCCTGGAACTGGGCTGCACGGTTACCACGTGATTGTTCTAGCTTACCAATGCTATCCTTGAACCTTAGATATGGAAATTGTATGTGTCGAATTTCTGTGAGCTATTAGTATTCGAAGCTAGTCCCTGTTGGCAGGAGCACTGCATAGTGCATACTGAATAGTTAGAGCGCGTGAGACTCATCTGTCAGAAAATATTATCTTGAATAGCAATACTTAACGGTTATCGGCTCTTGATATTTGAACTGACTATAAGGAACCCATCAGCAAGCATACTCGAAACTGGTTTTGGGCGAATTCCAAAAGCAGTCTCGCCAAAAAAAAACTGGTCTCATAAAAAACTAGCTCTACCAAAAACCGTTTCCACTCAAAAACCGGTTTTCAATCTCAAACCAGCTTCACTCAAAAACCAGCCTCACTCAAAAACCGGCTTTGAATATGGACTTCGAGCTTGGTCAACAGGCTGAGTTTGTTCAAGCTGATGACTCGATTAACTATTCAGATACCTCTTCATTGTATTTAGTATAAGAAATATTATTACCACCATATTTTTGAGAAATGAAAAAATGAAATATCCTTAATTCGGCTGCCTTTACTTTTCGCTTTATTTTCGCTAGTCGAGAAGCGTGAATATGGATTTGAGGAGGGGGCGTTATTTACGTGTAGCGCCTCTACCAGCCACCCTCAGGCCTGTGCCTCTCAAGATTACTTTACGTGCCACTGGCGGCCTAGATTGTCGACTTTCGCTGTGCACCGGGTTAGCTGTCACCGATGGCGCTGGCAGCTGCAGGGTTGGTGGGTGTTCGGCACCCAGCCCTCGGGCCGCTACTTGGACCTCCGCCAACAGGCCAACGCCCGGGGGCGGTCAACGGCCGAGAGAGAGGAACTGGCCGACCGACTGAAACGACCATCTCGAATGGATTGTAGAGTAATGGTGTGGTGCTCCAGCGAGAAACATGGGCTTTGAATGGATACGTTTTCGAAGAACATAATGATGTTTTTATTCTATAAAAGCCGGTATGCTGCCATAAGTTTTGTATAGGTATAGGTAATATAGGTAGGTTTTAAGGTAAATACATTTTGGAAAATAGTGAATGTTCGCGCATAGAGCAACATTATATTATTTCGATTGAACAGTTAAAGCTTATCACCAACTCGAATACTGTGACTGACGGATGACGATAGCTCGGGCCTCGGGTAAAACTGGTTAGGTAATCGAAAGCATAAGGTAGAGGAGAAAAAAACCTTCCAAATCTGTAGACGAGAGAAGAAATGTTGAACAATTCAACAGTGGATGGGGTAAAAAGGATAACAGAGGGTAAGAGGAAAAGGGAAATGAAACGAAGAAAGTGAGATAAAAAGAAGAGAAATGGATTTGGAATCAAGCGAGAAGATGGGAAGGAGTAAATAATAGTAGACCGTACGGCTTAGGAAGAGTGCGGGATAAGGATACGAAAAAATGAGCGCTAAATGCCATTTCTTTCGAAGGATTTAAGTTGCGATTAGAGATGCCCAGAATTGGAAAAAGAAGAGAGACATTGACCTGAAAGTATGGGAGAATGCGGGAAAGGTGTTACGGGAGCAACTGAGAAAGAGCTAAAAAGGAAGACTAGAAGGAGATGTAATGAAAGAGAGAACGGTACAGAACAGAACAGAACAGAACAGAACAGAACAACAGGTACAGAGAAAGACAAGGAAGGATAAGGAGACTAGAGTAGGAGTAAGGAAGAGGGGAATAGGAGTCGATGTGATAGGGCTGATTGAAGATTGTGTATGGGGAAGATGCACCGGTACCAACAATGAACACCCTCTAATCTCTATGTATCCTCATCCTCGTCCTCATCCTCTCTCTGATATTCATCCTCCGAACAAGATAGATACGCTCTCTGATCCTATGATTCACAATTTAGTCTATCTTATCAACTTAAAAGCTCACTTTAAGTAGGATCAAAAGATCAAATGTTGAGGACGACTTATCTGTTCGTTTGTCTTCAAATCCCTCTCCCGCCTCCTTATCGGTGGTGGGATCAAGTGTCCATCGCACAGATGTCACACAGTCACCGACACATCGTGGGCCAAAGTCGTCAGTTAGCGTCGTATATAAATTGCACAAGAATACAAACAAAACACTTGAACAGTTGCATCAGACAGGAAACTTCCCATCGCCTGACTGACTGACTTGTCAATCACCTTTATCAAACATTTATCATCAAGAGACGGACGAATCCTTTATCAAGCATGGGATGATCTATCAAACATATTAGTCGTCTACCCACTTGGACTCGTTTAATTTCGTCTGACCATACTTAGGTATGTTTATTGCCGGCAAGGCGAAGAACGCGACGTTATGTGATGACATTCAAATGCATTTAAATTTAAAATCTTTCTTATTGAACAGCTGCGCAAATGAGAAAGCGCATGCGCTCATGACAGTGTGAAATGCCTCATTTCACTCATGTCCTGTTCATTGTATGATGGTGAGATGCTTACTTAGCATCACCAAGCACATTTTGATGGTCTAAATTTATCGAAGTGTGAGATTTATCTCCTAATCAGCCCCTTTTTACTGCTCCTTTTCCATTGAAGCTAGATAACCCGACGCAATCCCACTCGGCCTCTCCCCGCCCCGCTGCTCGCCGTCCTATCGGTCTCCATCTGTAGACCATGTGGTCCGTCTCTGACGCCGCCCGTGGTCCTCATGGTATAGGAGCTGGCAGGAGCGTCTGACGGGCGTCCCCAGGAGCGCGCCCGGCCGGCGCTCCAGTCACCATGATCGTCAGCGCTCCCAGCGAGACGGAGCCGGCCGCAGCGGCCGCCGGCAGTCCCGCGCCGGGCGGCTCGGCCGGCCGCCGCGACAGCGAGGAACCGGCGCCCCTGAGCGCTCCGCGCACCAAGGGGCTGCTCAGCTGCTCCTCGTGCGACCTGGAGCTGCTGCACGGAGAGCACACGCCGCGGCTGCTGCCCAGCTGTCTGCACACAGTGTGCAGCAGCTGCGCCGGCAATCTCAGCAGCAACCCTGGTGAGTGGCGACGAACAGAAGATCGTCTCGGCTCCGGCCCGTGTTGGCGGACTGACCCAGCGCTGGAGGGGGCGGGAGGGGACAGGGATGTGGTGTCTAGAATATGATGTTCAATAGCGGTGTGTCTGCTGCACATTGCGACGGGTGGTTTTACTGTGATGGCATTGTGGATTTGGGCCTTGCTTGTGGCTTCATAATGTATTTCTTTGCTCGACTGTGTGTGCCTATTTGCGACTGTATGCTCATTGTTATTGTGGACTCTCTTTGAAGAACAAGCGAACCAATCCATGTACGTACCTATCCCCTATTAGCATCGTGTAAGGATTTCTAGTTTTAGAGCGCCCGAGGTCATTGGTGCAAAGATAAGCTTTGATTTAAGTTCGTTGAAGATAAAGAAAAGACCGTCAATAGAACCCTGCGCGCGACGGTGGATAGCTTCCGTGCCCGGAATACTTTGTTACGGGGGCGAAGCTTTCTGCATGCTGCATTACCATAGCTGTGTACTGCTATCAAATCCTGCATCACGTTTAGTGTTCATTTTACCACCAGTTAGCTGCGCTTCATGGTGAAATCGATGTAAATTTATAGTACGTAGTTGTGCTGAAAGGTTTTCGGTGGAGCAACAAATATTTTTGTGTTTTTTTTTTTTGTTGGTTCCACCGAAAGCCTCAAAGTACAACGTCTTACATAATTCAACATGTAAGATGTAACTAGACAAGAGGGTTTCTTGCCAGTTGCAACGTTTGCCTGTGTACCGTCCTTGCGGCTGACTATTGGCGGATCCGTGAAAGTAGTTAGTTTGAGACGTTGCGGGGGCGGCGTAATCCTCTAAAAGATACTCCATTTATGATAAACTCCTCGGACTTCACTTGTTACGCTTTGTTGTGCGTTTTTTTAACCCACGTCCCGCTGGGCTATTCAGCCATACGCGCCTTGCTGGAGGGGGGGATTTGCCCCCCCCCCTGTCTAACTTCCAAACCGATGTTTGTAGAAAGACTGGGATAACGGCAATCGAAAGCTCTCGACAAGAGGAAACTTTTTTTGAACCTTTTTTGCCTAAGTAGTTAGATCAGAGGTCAGGTCAGGTCAAGGTCAGGTCAAGGGTACAAAGTGCAAGTTTCTACATTTTCGGTTTTGGAGCGCAGTTGGCGAATAATGGACTGATGTTGATTTATTGATTTTCCCGTCAGTTTTTTTCTTAAGAATTTTGGGCCAAAATCCCTACTTTTCAAAAATCCGAGATTTTCATTCAAAAGACAAAGCGAACTTACGCATAAAGTATTTTGTTACATCTTGATTCCTTAAAAAGTAAAAACTGATATGTTCAAGGCGTTTGAATTTTTACAGTTTCGATGCGAAAATGGCGTGACATGACGTCTATTAACCCTCGCCCCGTTTGGGGGCCAATTTGGCCCCCCTGTGGTTTTTCCCGAATAGCAAGAAAACGGCGGCGCGCAGCGCCGCCAAATTTTCAGTGCCTTCCTGGGCATCAATTTGACACCTTCACACCAAATTTCAAGTCTTAGGTCACCTTAGGTCAGGAGTTATTGAGGTCAAACTGAGGTCATGTTCGAGCAAAAATGAGCAAAAAACATGCAATCTTGAAACGCTCACCAAATCTACAGTTACCAAGCAATTTCAAAGTTCTTTATATGGTCTAGTAGACAAAAAGCGGCGCTACAAAATTGCTATCTCGGATTTTCAAAATTTTGGGTTTTCGACCCCTAAAAGTTCAAAAAATTGATTTTTTTTAGAAAAACTAAAAAAAAATCCAAAACAATTCCGAATTTCGAAAAAAAACCGTAATATATGTGATAGTCCCTGCGCTCTTCACATATCAAATTTCAGATTGATATATCGTTTTTTGGCCAAGTTATAGCGAAAAAACTGTTCAAAAATGATGACGTCAAATTTTTGAACTCAGTTTTTAGCGATTCTAGACCATGTAGGGCAAAACAAAAACCACCATTGAACTCCCCGTGACGAGCTGCATCGAATCGATGCCCATTTTGTGCAAAAATATCAACTTTGAAATTTGACCTAATTTGACTTGACCTTGACCTGACCTTGGCCAAAATGTGACCTGAGCTGACCCCAAAGGCTGCCTGACCCACATAATCGCATTTGTCATGTAAAATGGACCATAAAACATGTATTACACGACACTTTCATATTGTGGCGACCCCCCAGTGACCTGACCTCTGTGACCTGACCTGGTATCAGTGACCTCAAATAGCAAAATATGTGTTTGAAGAACATTTCCCCATCGATGATTTTCAATGAAATGCATTTTACTCGATTTTACAACGCATTTCTTGAAATGCCTGTAAACGGTAAAAATTCGACCTTTGACCTGACCTGTGACGTCATCGGTTTGACCTAGGTCAATAAAATTGGGTCACAAGGTAGTTCCCTGATAGGGCTATCCAACACCGTTTGCCGCTTGTCGCTAGGTTGCGTGGTTCTCGAGATCTTGGGGGGGGGGGGCAAATTGCCCCCCCCCCCCCCCCAACAGGGCGCGTTGCTCGGCAGAGCCCAACGGGGCGCGGGATTTTCCTACAACTTTTTCGAACGGATTTCGCTCAGATTTTTCAGGGTACGTACATGTCAAATTGATGTATGAATTGACAAGGTACTGTAAGTTAACCGTCGCTGGCTCCAAGCGCTTAGAAGCTATTGGCGAAATCTAGAGGAGGTCAGGTTCTGCCCCCCCTCCCCCCCAGCAGGGCGCGGAAGTAGTCTTATGCAATGCAAGGAAAAGGCAGAATTTCATCAGTTTTGAGTTTTGACCACTGTGGGAGGAGTTGATGCCCCAAACGCCTCACTTGGGTCGGCCAGTGCGGCTGTCGAGGTTCAACGTGTATAACTGCATATAGGACGTTGTCCCCAGCGTAACCTGCCAATGTTGCAACACCCGTTGTTGCAATGTGGGCTGCTCGAGTGTCGGGCTGTGTCCCGCTTATCGCGCTTCGGTAGTTCTAAACCAGTTTTGAGAAGCGTTATGTAAGGAATCCAAATTAATTGGAAGCGGTCCGTTTCCAAAATAACCAAATAATGTGGGTCGTTTACGTCCAAATTTGACGTTTGCCGTTCAAAAAGAGGCAGACAATTTTCACTCGATTAAACCGCCCTTATGAGTAAAAAGCGTTTAAGATCTGAGATAGGCTACGACATTTCTAAATTATAGAGGCAACAGGATTTCAAAGCTCGAGTAGAATAGTGGAAAACAGGTGCGACAATAATAGATTAAATCAAATCGAAAGAGTTAGGAATTCCGGCTCGTATGACTTACCTATGTCATTCGCGCTTTCTCAGTATTTTATTATTGTGTTTATTGGTTATTCCGCTATAGGTACATATGAGTGTGTTAGCTACAATATGATACTCCAGTATATTCCAGTTGTAGAGCTGCTTCAAATAGCCCGACATGTGCAACTACAGTTGCACGAGCAATGCAGTTCGGCTGTGGAACATGTCATCCAGTCAGTTTGTCGATTTGCTCAGTACCTACATCGCAGTTAAGTTATCCAATGATTATCATATAGTTAACCCTTTAGGAAGGTACAGACCAATGAGATAGTCGTAACATATTTAAAACAACTTCATTGGCTGCTTTCCATGAAAAGGTAGAAAGATAAAAGATCGATATTTTAGAAATTCAGCCGTTATCGATCATCTCGACGTAAAAAGTCGCCGATATGTACTATTTTTTATGAATGCTCTTTTGAATGCATCTAGCAAAAAAGAGGTCAATTTCACTGCAACTCATAATGACGCAATATCTTCTGCCTAAATTTCGCTTCATCTGCGCTCGTCCCTCCTTTGCACGGGCTGACCGCCCAGCTCCGCTCCCCTCTCCCGCCGCCAGACGGGTTCCAGTGCCGCCTGTGTATGACCACGTCAGCCGAGGTGCTCGATCATCCCCTGGTGGAAGAGCTGCTGCAACGGGAGCACGTGCAACAGTGCAGCCGGCTGTGCGGCCAGTGCGGAGAGCGGGGCCGAGAGGCGATCGCTGCCGGCGCCTGTGCAGAATGCTGCACAGAGCTCTGTCAGGATTGTATTGAGGTGAGTGGTACGGAGAGTAAGAGCACCCGTTAGTGAGCTGTATCGGGGTACAAGTTGGACGGATCCCCCAGCCGACTACTAAGCATGAGGGGGACGGGGGGGGACGGACTGAAAGGGGATGGAACGGATACACCAGCTGACTGTATGCTAAGGGTAAGTGGGGGCGGACTCCAATCTCCAATGTCCGTTTCAAGACAGGTGGAGACCTGTCCTAATATCAGAGTTGGTCGTATATTAAATGTGAGCAGGGCGGAGAATGGGACGCACCCGAACCGCTGCACTGTTTGTATTCTAGCGAGTGGGTAAGTTATTCTGGGTGTGGCTGTCCCAGCTCTGAGACTGACCAGATGTACCGCTGCTGCCGACGGGACCGTATAAGGCTGTAGCTAAGCGAGAGACCGGGCTACGTCACAGGGACCGGACGTGCCGACGGGAGGGCAGACCATGTGACCGATCAGACACCCTACTACCCCTCCCCCTCCCCCTCGCCCCGCGCCGGCCGGCCGGCCGGCCGGGTCAGAGCGCTGTTCACCACGGTCCATCTGATTTACTGCGTAGCTCGAGCGTGCAACTGCTCAGCTCCTGCCACCCGAGCGAGGGCAAACGGAATTTGAACCTAAATAGTCTGAGCTATGCGCACCGTCAATGGCGGATCGAAGGTGGGGATGGAAAGCATATGGGCCATTGGCTCCTTCAGTAGCATCCGAAACTGACAAAATTTTGTTCTTTCCTCGCTTAGAATGAAAACCAAGCAACTTTCTATGAACGAATTGTTTTTGTCAATTTGTCTGGACTGTTTTTGTCTTTTTTTGTCCACCTTTTCTTGTCTTTCCTTTTAGCGCGATCAGCTCACGTATCACTTTTGTTTACATCAGTCATCAGTGCCCATTTCCAGACCACTGAATAGTTAATTGTTACATAAGCATTTTGCACGCGCGTCGGCATGATGTCACGGGTGGCAGTTCCAGCGGGCGATCGCGACGATACGAATGAACGTCTTCGGACGCATAGCTGTATTTGTCTAGGAACCTATCAAGTTTTATCAAATGAAGTGATCATGTCCTCATATCATTTTGATACGATCAGCCAGTTATGAAACACCTGTGCCCTGATCTTCATTGATGCTGATCCAAATTACAAGACACCTCCGTACAGGTTTAGGTGCCTTTGGACCGACCCGAGCCATGACAAACACTATCCTATTCGGTGACCACGGGGGTCGTCTCACTCTCGACCGTAGGCCGTTGCCCTCCGTCCTCCGTCTGACATCTCGCCCCACTTATCTCGCACTCCGCCCCGCCCCAGTCCCCACCCGGTCCTCCGCCCGCCCGTCCGCCCGACCGACCGGCCGACCGCCCGCGACCGGCCGACCGACCGTCCGACCGACCGACCGACCGACCGAACGCCCGACCGCCCGACCGCGTCCGACCGTCTTTCGCCGCCGCTCGGCCACCGCCCCCGGGCTAGGAGCGCATAGCAGGACAGCTGACAGACTCGACCCAAACGGCCGCGCGGCGGAAGGAAGCGTCGCCATCCCTCCCTCCCCCTCCCCGGGCTACCTCCTCCCCTCTCGGCGGGCGGGGCAGGGCAGGAAGTCTCCGAGGACACCTGTACTCGATGACCGGTGGTCGACTGTGCCGCTCCAGTTTATCGCAGAGTCAGTGACACGATCATTGTGTCGGTCAAAGGGCGGGACAGATCTCGCGTTGCGTCTTTGTTCGGTTATCTTGTTCTATCTCGGGTTAGGTGGATTGATCCACTAATACCCGATCAACTTCACAGCACGGGACGGGATCTTGGGCTGAGGCTTACCTCTGTCACAGGAACAGACCTGCACCCGCTGCATTACGGTGTAGGTAGAGACGGTGCAATTGTAGGAACTATTTCAGATAATTGTGCACCATTAATTGTTTTCGTAGCTCCCCTTTATCTAAACGCATTACGAGTAACTATAAGTAACTCGTAATTGTAACAGAAGTGATAACAAAAGTACTCCCAAGAACACATATGCCAAGCGTCAATTCTCTGATATTACTTTGTGATTACTATTTACTACTTCGTTTGTTTTATTCACAGGCACATAATCAAACAAAGCTGACGTGGGACCACTCAATAACGGCCTACAATGACGACTCGGCGCACCAGCGATGTCCTGAACACCGCAAAGTGAGTGCACAGTTAATGGGTCGGGGACAGACAGGTTTTTGCGTCAGGCTTGGCTCTGTCAAGGGCGACTGTCTGCGTCTGGCTATTTTCGGAGCAGGGCCAGATGGAAGCCGCAGCGAGACGGCGGTGCGGGGCGGAAAACGTGCTTGACCAAATAAAGCATAAACGGTAAAAAAAAATGTAGTTCAGATAAGATCATGTAAATTGTAAGTGTAGCTTATTTTATGACAATTAAATCAACAATTTCCAATCACCTATTTTTATAGCAAACAGAAAATAATCAAATTATTGTTCCTGTTTTTTTTTTCGTCAAAAAGTTACAAAGTAGGCGTGATTGCTTTATCTTTGTTATAAGATTAAATAAAAATAAGAACAAATTAAATTGCAACTTACTTAGGGTCTTCCGATTTTCCCGGAAGGGGAGGACCAACAGTTGTTCTCCCCGCCACACCGGCTACCCTTCCCCGAATACCAATTACCAACGTCCACCCCCTCACTGACTCACCACCTCACTGACTCCCTGACTCACCACCTCTCTGACTCCCTGACTCACCACCCTTCCACCGACAGGCGTACGACAACTACTGTGATACATGTCAAACGGTGGGCTGTGGCGACTGCATCCTCTCCTCTCACCGATCTCACAAGTCGTCCACTCTCGAACACAAGCAGGCAGAGGTCAAGGCGCAGCTCACCAATCGCCTCGATCGCACCAGGTGAGCCACCTTTAGATTATACTTTTTATAGAGCACAGAATATACATACGAATGTGTCTTATTTGAGACAAGTAATCTGCTGGGTGATTGTTACATGCATACTGCATGAGGTCTCGCTTATGCCTGTGTTACTTTCTCTGCGTGGCGATTATGGGACGTGAAAGTTTCGTAATCGCTCTGCGCTAGCCAGCTCATCGCTCATCTCAACCGCTGAGGGTTTCTGTCATTGAGCCATGAAGTGGCTCAAATCGGTCAGAGGTTGAAGCCATGTCCTCACACCAATAACCGTAACTGTACCACGGCTTTGCGCTGGGGTGGGGTTTGTTACCCTGCGTCCGACGGCCGTTGGAGGCAATAAAACTGTTACCTCACAACAGCCGGAAAGGCAGGTGCCTTCTGTTGGCACAATGTGATAGCGAGCAGGTGCCGTTAGCAAATGTGTGTGCTGGATTAGGGGTAGCCGATGCTCGCCAGTGTAGATAGGTGAGAGGGTGGAGAGGGAGCGAGAAAGAGAGAGAGAGAGAGAGAGAGAGAGAGAGAGAGAGAGAGAGAGAGAGAGAGAGAGAGAGAGAGAGAGAGAGAGAGAGAGAGAGAGAGAGAGAGAGAGAGAGCGTGTTCAAGCTGGAGGTCAGCTCAGATGAATGCCTCGCTGACCGAGACAAACAAGGGACAAAAAGTACGCCGGGTACGACTGGTTACCGAGGCCGAACAAAATAACGTGGCTCTCCTGTCAAGAGTGTCTGAGTGAGAGAGGCTAGACGGTGGACAAAACAGGTCGACCTAGAACACGGCTGCAATTTTAGAGGAAATAGGACAAGGTGAGGCAAACAAACCCCGACTCCCGAGTATCGCTAGGGTAGCGGAGCAGCGATTGATTACCCGTTAAATTGGGTGGCAAGGTGTCTACTGTCTATTTCATCAAATTGGGAATGGCGTTTGATAGTGTCGGATTCGGCAAACCAAGATTTGGACAAGATCGCGTTGGACATATATGAAGCTCTTTCTGAAAATTAAAAACACGATAGATTGGTCATTTGGATGGTCATTTGGACGGGAAATATGCAAAGCTGTACAGACACTGAAAACGATCGTGAATTTGGCGCGGTGTTCTGCGGGTGCAGGGCCGTCCTTGACCCCATTCGGTGTCGAGATAGAAGCCTGGCCTGTCTGGCCGGGACGGTCCAGCCGTACATATGCTCCTGTGTCGCTATGGGCGGCGGAGCGCGTTGGACGGCACTCGGCAGCGGACGGCAGCTCCCCTCACGACACCCCTCAGAGGTCTCCCACCCCACGACACCCTCCTCGGCCCCTCACGGCACCCCTCCCCAGCGTCTGGTGGTAGGACGGGGATTATCGTAATTCAACCTCCACGTCATGGTTTCGGTCGACCCCAGGCGGCGCCCGGTTATGAAACACCCCGAAAGCCTGTTTGTACAAAAGTGAAGGTCATGGGCGCAGCCCCGGCTCCAGACGGACACAAGGTCAGCCGACTGAACGGGTTGTCAGAGGGGAAGGTGATGACTGATGAGGCTGGAGGGCTGTGGGAGCTGCTGGGAAGCTGAATGCTGCCGTTTTTAAAGAGTATTTTGGAAGCACTATAAAAGATGTACGTATATTTTTTCAACCCTAGCTTTCTGCTAGACTTCAGACTAGCTTTGACAGTGCCAGGGTTTCCCACTAAAATTCCGCACTGCAGGTCCCACCGGCCGCGTTCCACGTCTGAATCGATACGAGGGACTGCCGGCAGGGACGACGAACAAAGCCCGTGTGTCGCGACTCTGGCGCCGGCTTCCCCCGGGAGTCTGCCCGCTTCCGGTCCGCTCCCCACCCCATTCCTCTTTTTGGTCACGCAAGCCTCATTATTGCGAGTGCAGACGTTCAGTAATAGCGAGCTTTTTGTGTTGCATTCGTTATCAGAGGCTGCACGACCCGGCCACCTGCACCGAACGTCTGACGGGTGCCGGCCATGCCAACGCCCAATATCATTCGCTTTGTGTATATTTTAATGACAAAGAATGCCTCATTTAGATGATCGTGTAGTCTTTCTTGTTGATCAGCAGCACAATCAGCTCAGCGGCAGAAGGAAAGGTAGGAATGGATTGGCGCCAGACGGTCGCGACATATTGGACTTGTTTGCTGTGCAGCTGCTGCTGCTGCTGTCACCAGTCCATCACATCGATTACCTATACGATAAAACATCGACGCTGAATGCTTTTTCTACGCTGAACTGGACTGATTTCATCTTGATTTTTACAATTTTCGGCCATAACTTATTACGGCATTATGCCTTGCACAGTGCACAACTACAGTTTAACCGTTCATATCATATCCCCGATATATGAAACATTTTATCGTATCAGCGAACGTTGAAATGAAACTCGCTCTGGCATTAATTAGCATTACAATAAGCTAGTCCCCGAGTTATCTGGTATCCATTATATTCGGTACGCTCGACGCCGCGCTGGTGGAATGGCTGCTGTGGCTGTGCCTATCTCTCGCATCTTCCCTCCTCCCCCGTATCTGCCGGTCCGGCCGCCATTCGTGTCACTTTTTCGGCTCACCCGGAGCGGAGAGGCGGTCGCGCCCGCCCGCCCGCCCGCCCGCTCCCTGTGGCAGTGACTGGTGGGGTAGGTCAGTCGACTCGGCGGGATGGCCCGTACCGTTAACGTTCGTGGAATGCGAGGAGGCGGCGGCGGCGGGCGGCGGCGGCGGCGGCGGCTGCCTCTGACAGGCGCAGAGGCGCTGTCTTCTATAGTGTGTGTCCGTTTGGCCAGATTGGGGGCGGTGACCTTGGAAGACACGTAGGACGAAAATAGATGTAACAGTACTTGATCGTCATCAGGACAACAGGAGAGCTAGTGCAGTGTAGCGCTGGGGACTCCCCTGCTCCTCCTTTGGCTTCGCTTTCCGTGTTGGTTTTGTTTTACTCGTAACTCGTAAGCCCAGCTGGAAGTTTTTAATCACTATTGCGTGCGGTCTGTTTGGCATAGCATGTAGCTCGAGTTTACATATAGGTAGGTAATAATGGTAATAGCCATACAAAGTTGGTAAGGCATAGAAATGATGCGCGTTATTTTATAGGTAAATGATCATTCGACCTCGATTGTCCGGAGAGATGTCATTTCAAACCATCTTCGTAGGTTTGTGTCGCACCTGAGGCATAAATAAGGCTGTAACTGTGTTACCGGGATGGTGATCGTCAGTTACGGTAGGCCGTTAGATGCCTTGTGCCAAGACAACGGCCTCGTGGGCTCGACCAGGACTTTTTGTTCTGTAACCACACCATACGGGTGATACGGGACCGGCCTGTAGAGGCGCAAGAACTGGGTCAGCTTGCGCTGGAGCCGCTGTGGGTCCTTGTTTTTGTGTTTTTTTTTTCTTCAAAATTTGTTTAATTACCACCCAGCACCCACTGCGTGCAGGCCGACCAAATCAATACGAGGGGCGGACGGCACAAAAACTATAACCGTACTAAAATGCGAGAGTAAGCAAAAACCGCGTGATCGGGGCGCCTCAGTCACGTGCCCAATCCACTCCCCTCCGTTTCCATTTTCATCACGCTAACATCAGTCTGTTACTGCAGCCGTTCTGTTCACCAATCGCGTTGCTTCCCGTGTCACCTGCCAGAGCCAACTGTGGTGTTCCCCGTGTAGGCCACCGCCCGTCGAAGGGCCGGCCAACGCCCAGATAAAATCGATTCTGTATAACGATAAGACTACTGAGTAACTACTGACGTTCCTTTCGTGGCCAATGTGTGAGGCCCGACTGTGTAGAATGGGGCCAGCTGTGGCCAGCAACAGACACGGCGCGGCCAGTGACTGCCAGGTAGGACACGAGAATAGGACTGGTGTCGTCATGGGAATGTGACCCGGATTTGACCCACTGAACGCTAAACGTCGGCCGGGAGCGCCCGAGGGCAAACGAGCTGTGGATGTGGGCCGTTGCGCGTGATAGGTGTTCGGCGTGAGTTTCCCAAATTTAGATGGGAAGGTGGATTTCCACATTTGAAAGGTAATTGAGCCTGTTTGATTGAAAGTCTCACTAAAAGCTTTTTCCGTAAAAGCGAAATAACATGTGTGTATACAGTTCTAGCTCTAAGAATTATGTAGGCATACAGTACACACTGCTAAAATTGATAGCCGATAGGCATGGGGAAGGTGCGATTCCCGATCAAGTGAGGCCCGTTCTTTTTTTTAGGCTCCTAAGTCCTAGTGCGTCTGTGCGTGTGGGTGATTATGAAGAACTGGCCGGCCGCTATTACCTTGGAGCGCCTCTCTAATCTCGACACATTGTGCGTAGCCTGCGCCATTACGTCACCTCCCACTCAAAATGAGCGTTTCCTCACATTGTTTCACAACTGACCGGTTTGGAGCTGCCCGTGTGCCCCACAGTTCTGACAGCTTTGGAAGCAATCGGCGGAACACCTTCGATTACGGGGGGGGGGGCACTGCCGACTTTTGGTCCCATTCTTTCCATGCAACGCCCATAGGGCTAGTGTTAAAATGCCAAAATCAAAGGGGGCACGGTGCCCCGGTGCCCCCCCCCCCCCCCGTTCCGCCGCCTATGTTTCAAAGTCTCGGGCCTCGGCGTGGGCTGGTCCAGCCGTTCCACTCACTTGTTCCCATGGCGCGTCCCACCGACCCTCTGTGACCCTCGGCGACCCTGCTCTTCCCTCCCCTGGCTCCCCAAGTACACTGACTCATTAATCACTGTCCCCGTCCCCTGCTCCTATGCCCGCTCCAGCAGCCTGACTGCCACCCATTGGACCATTTCGACGGTCATTTTCACTGTACCTACTGTTCCCGTGTGAACCCCTGCCTTCCTAAGGAATTTTGTTTGTGCGCGAACTATTACGCTGGGACGAGCGTCTGCCCTGAATCTGTTGGAGATGGTTCGTTTGCTCGGCAGGTGGCTCGGAGTGGGGTTTCGGACCGGCCGGTCCACCGCGCTCCCTGTTATCCCACGCGCCCGCCCCTGTTGTTGACCCGTGGTGGTGAATGCTGACGCTGAACGGCCGGGAGGGGTGGGATGGGGGGGGGAGGCTGCGTACACACGCGGTCGCACGCACTGTACTTTAACACTCAGGCACTCATACAGACACCTTCCGACAGGTGACGCACTGACAGCGACCGACACCTAGGTACTCAACCACTCACTACTTATGTGCAATCACGCCCCCTCCATTTCTCTCTCTCTCTCTCTCTCTCTCTCTCTCTCTCTCTCTCTCTCTCTCTCTCTCTCTCTCTCTCTCTCTCTCTCTCTCTCTCTCTCTCTCTCTCTCTCTCCTCTTCTTCTCTTCTTCTCTTCTTCTCTTCTTCTCTTCTTCTCTTTTTCTCTTTTTCTCTTCTTCTCTTCTTCTCTTCTCTTCTCTCTATTGCCTTTTACCTTATCTCCTCTTTTTGTTCCCGGCATTCTCTTTCTCTCACTCACTCAGTCGTGTCTGCTATAGTCGCTTCTTCTCTCTCGATTTAACTATGCAGTTACTTCGCTATGCAGAGACTTAGCTTTATCGCTGATCTGCTGAGCGCTGCCGCTGCGTATATTCAAATTCCAATCGTATACCTACCAAGGCGATAGGAGTAAACAGATAACAAAATGTCGTTTTTGTGCACTGCCAAGTGCCAAGCGTCTGTGTTTGGCCAGTGGGCGACCGTGACACCGCCGGAGACGGGAAAACATATGCTGATAAGGGCAATGCAGGACAATAAGAGGTTTTGCGATTCAGCTGTGCGTCTTCTCCTCACGATGAAAATGCGTTGTGCGTCTCGTGCGTCTGGCATGAAAATCAGCCAATAAAGATGTGTCGATTTTGCTCCGGTTTAATCGCAACGACATGATAGTCGATTACATTTGTGGGGGGGGGGGAGGGGTAATGCGAGTATGGACAAAAATGACAAAACTTACGGATATCAAAATCCGAACTTGTTACCCTCATCAAAGGAACGTGTTTACCAGCAGACAAATAAATGATCCGCCTGTAGATATAATCTCGTGCTATGTTTGTTGGAAGGCAAAGACATGTTCATTTGTGACGTTCAACTGACAGCCTTTACGGACTATGACAAACTGTAAAGCATATGACTGAATTGTCCTCTCCAGCGTCTGTTGTGTCCTGTGACCCAGTGATTGTGCTCTAGTGTCGGTATTTGAGAATCAGGTCAGCCCGATCAGCTCGTCGGACTGTTGTGTCATACAACTCCGGCGGACGATGGCCACATTTCGGTGAAAGTAAGTCCCGAGAGCTCTCCTCTCTAAACTGCGTCCCTCTCTCTTCATCAGGAAGCAGCGGAAACAGCTCGACGAGCAGCGAACGCAGCTTCGGCAGCGTATTGGAGAGGCGAAAGCGGCGAAGGAGTCAAGTGTCAATGACATCATCGCTGCCCATGATGCGTGAGTGTGTAACTCTGTCCGTGATGTTTGTGCGTGAGTGTTAAAGGGACTATCCCACCTTTAACATGGGGTTTGAGTTGAGATAGCCAAGTTTGCGGCGAGGTTCAGAAACCACTATCTATCTAGGCTGCAACCCCCGCGGCCTCTTGGTGTTGAAGAAATTCGTTCCCTTCATTTGAAAATGGGCCTTGTACAAGGCCCTATCTTCAACATGGAGCGACCGTTAGTGTGACGTCACCTCGTTTAGTCATTCTGATTTAAATGGGTTTGTTCGTTGAAAAATCGCTTAAAACTTGGTCTGAACTTTGTTGTGGTGCCTACAGAGTACAAAGAATCAGCTTTATGACAGTAATGTGGCCTGGGGAAGGAGGTGATTTTGGGCTGTGACGTCACATATTTGAAAGTTTGTGTTTGGAATACGGGAAGCCTAAGATGTTTAATGAAAAATAAATGGCAGAACCGTGTTCCTGGTCATCCAATCTATAAAGTCGGGCACAATTTAACTGGTTTTAACAACATTTTAGAAGGTGGGATAGTCCCTTTAAGACGAGTAATTCAGCAGCCAAGGATTGCTAGGGTCATGCGAGTGCGATATATGAAATCAAGAAGTAATATGTGATCTGGCGGATCTGAGAAATGGTGGATATGAGTAACGTTTTTGCTCACTTTACCCCTCTTCGGGTAGTTATTTTATGTAAAACGTTGCCATCACGGGATGAACTTGATAATTGATGCTGTTTTTATCGGTTGAGTTGTCGTCTTTATTTTAAATGAATCGGCACGTTATATCAGCTGTATCCTAATTTTGTGACCAAACCGTCTCAACCCGCCATAACCGCCCGTCTCCCGTCACCTATTCCACCTTCCCTCTCCATTCATAACCCGCCTGTCCCGTCTGTCACCGGCAGCTACCAGGAGAGGCTGCGGTCGTTCTTCACCGAGCAGCTCCGGCTGACGCAGGTCCACTACGACAACTACACCAGCGAGCTGGACATGCGGCTCACCAAGACGGAGCTGGTGGACCTGCGGCTGGCGCACCTGGACAGCTTCACCGAGCACCTGATGGAAAAGGCGCGGCCCTCCACCGTCATTGGAAACGCCAGGTCAGTGGTGGGTCCAGGAGAGGGCAAATAGGGCAATTGCCCCCCCCCCCCCCTCCGACCGAAATGGCAAAATTTTAATATTGCGCCTCTATACAGTGCATGGAAAGAGCCACTAAATTGTTATTGTTTGCACCTCCCAAAACTCTGAGCTGGATCTGCCAGTGCTCCAGGTGAGTGCGGCGAACACTTGGCGTATTAACAGATTGGTACAGCTAGTCGGTGTTATTATAAATCGATTGTAAACCGATATTAAATCACCTGGCAGAACAATCAGGGAGCCTGGCGGTACCTCAGCTGCCTTATTACAGCTGGTAACAGAATATATGCTATCATATGTGTAAGCTCGCCTGGATTGTCCACGAATTTAGTGCGTTGGCCGACCTCTGTTGTGGTGATTTAGGACGCGTAGCGACGAGGCTCTCGCGTCCAAAGATGACTTCTCTGGCAGCTGAAGTCAGCCATTCGTCTGCTAACTGGTTGATTTTGTCCCCAGGCATGTGTTGGATCTATCCAAGCGGTTACATAGAGTGAACCTCGCACCCGAAAAGGATCGAAAACTCCCAGATGTACGCATGAAACGCTTCCTTGGCATGGATAGTAAGTATATTATTTTGTTATATCGGTTTTGTCAATTGTTGCCGAAATGTTTTGTTAGATAACGAAAAAAATATTATCAATACATATTAATATTTGCGTCAGATAAAGTGCATATTCACCGGCTCTTATGCGAGTGAGTTAAGCCTAGTTGATTTGGATGCGAAATGTTATTCTGCTATGGCCCCATGTCACGAACGAGCGACCATCTGTGTGCACGCATAATGGTGCACAGTTCACACTGCACAAGCGACGCGGAAATCACAAATACAATTCAGTAATACTGGGCTCACCTGACCATGTCTCTCCATCCATCAGGTATCAACGACATGATGGGTTACCTGCTCTACGACGGTGACCGCTGCCTCCAGGAGAGCAAGAGGAACGAGCTGTGCAACGCCGTCGGCAAGATCATGCTGTTCTTCTCCAAGAAACACTTTCACAAGAACACCGACTTCGGCGTGCAGCTGCTGGATGATTTGTTCAGCGCCCTGAACGAGGTGCCTGCGGGTGGCTTGAGACCGGACATGTACGACTGTGTATGGCGGGCTTATAGCACCCTGAAGGCTAAGCACGGCTACTCGGCGCAGGTAGCGCGACGCCAGCAGACACCCGCGCCCGCCGGCCCCACTCCTAGTCCTGCGCCCGGCGCCCATCAGCCGCCTCCCTACGGGTCCGGCATGGCGCAGCAGGTGCCGTACCAGGGTCAGATGGCGCAGCAGCAGCACTACTCGCAGCAGTACCCTCAGCAGGAGATGCAGTTCCAGCAGCAGCAGCAGCAACAGCAGCAACAACAGCAGCAGCAGCAGCAGCAGCAGCAGCAGCAGCAGCAGCAGAACATGCAGCAGCCGGCTTACGCGGCCCCAGATGGGATGGGCGGCTACGAGAACCACAGTACTCTGATGGATCAGTTGCGGATGAGAGTGGAATCCGACCCGAACTGGTTGTCATCTGTCCTCCCCCAGCAGCCAATTCTGCAGCAACAGCAGCAGCAGCAGCAGCAACAACAACAACAACATCACGCACAGCACCAGCAACAGCAATACATCCACCATCCGCAACAGCAGCAGCAGCAACAGCTTCCCCGGCATCATCGGCAGGATCAGTCTCAGTACAACCAGCAACAGCAGTACGTCCAACAGCAGCAGCAGCAGCAGCAGCAGCAGCAGCAGCAGCATCATCATCGTCTCCGCCCCCCGCAGCAGCTATCGCCGCACCAGCCGCTCGGACAGCTGGCGAATATGGTCAGACGCTCCTCCCAGCAGACGCCGCCTTTGCAGCAGCAACAGCAGCAGCCTCAGCGGTCGCCGGCCGCGGCATCCGTCCCCCAGACCTCCCCGGCACAGCGACCGCCCTCGTCCGGGCCAGCACCGCCCCGGGTGACACCCATCCAGCAGAATAACCCCACACTCTCCTCGCTGATCGACGACGTGACAGTGGTGACCCCGCCCGGTGACCTGACAGCGCCGGGCGTCACCCCCGCCCCCTCCCCGGCGGCTGCAGCCCCTCCCCAGCCGTCGCCGCGAGCGCCTGCTGCGTCTCCAGGACTGCAGCGGTCGCCTGCGCCGTCAGAGCCGCGGCTGACTACTGGTGTGGACCCAGCGCCGGGGGTGAGGGCGGGTCACCGCTCGCCTCCACGGCCGACGCCCGAGTTCTCGCTGCAGCAGCATCTGAAGGTGCCGCTCGGAAGGAAACGGACACTCCCAGAAGAGGAACAACACGAACAGGTAGGGAGGATTGGAGGGAAGGTATTCCCACCCGACTTGGTTTTCTTAGCTGACGTGCAGCTTCGGTCGTATTTCTGATAAATTTAGTATCCATATTGTCACGCATTTAGCACAGAGGCAATTATCATGTGTTAAGAATCAATAACTCTAGTAAATATTTTTTCATTAGGGGTATTCGCCCCCACGTGGTCCAAAGTAAGAGCGGTGCTCCAGATGATCGTTGTGACGAAGTGTCTTTGTTTATTTACAGAACCCGCCGATGGCGGAAGGACAACAACCAGCGACAGCACACCAGTCGTCTGAGGCACCGTCCAAGTCCCGGCGGGCCTCTGGTGACCTCAGCCACTCCTCTCGCGGCCCCCAATCGTCCGACACCGCCGCTCCAGAGGTCATCGACTGCGACGAGCCGGCATCGGAGACGGCAGACGACAGCGGGCTCTCCTCACTGGTGATCACGGAGACCTTCTCCCTGGATACTGGTGACGGACTGGTGGTGGATGATGCACCCGTAAACGGCGGCAGTTCACACCAGAAGCAGCTGGATAGAACGCTGGATGCCTTTCACCGTCGGCGTCAGTTCAACCGGAGGCTTTCAGTCACTCGAGCTACTGGACTCTCCTCGGAGACGAATGATGAGAATTCTGCCGGGCAAGCAACAGCGCCATCTGCAAACTCTGATACATCCGAGACTGAGGGAAATCGACACACGACCAATGTTCAGTCCAACAATCCAGCTACGTCAAAATCAGCTCGTCCGGTGATATCCAAAGAGATGGACGGGCCAGCCAAGAATGAAGAGTACCGACCTGCCCCGTCCAGGCCCGCGCCCCCGATGGTTGTCATCCACGGAGGACCTGCGAGTGCGTCGGCGACCAGCCCGCTCCATCCACGGTCTCTCCACTCGCCGATCGAGTCGCAGAGCGAGGTCGGCGGTAGGACTCGGGATAAACACGGCGAGAAGCGCAGGATAGATTCGGGAAACGGCGAGTCTGAGAGGAAGAGGTATCGTAGTGGCGAGAGGCTCGGAGACAGAGAGCAGGCGGGCGGCGAGACCCACCGGCGGCAGCAGCATCAGCCGAGACAGCCAGCGGCGGCGGGCCGGGAGCCGAGGCCGGCGCCGTCTCAGAAGGAGAATCAGAGGGTGCCCAAAGTGGGCCTCAGTGAGTGGGAGAAGACCCCGTCGGCTGGGAAACTGCTACCAAGTCCGCCCGACCGCACTGCACCACCCGCCACAGATCCCCCGGTCGGCCGAGGGTCTCAGCGTGGCCGTGGCCGCGGTCGAGGTCGGGGTCGGGGCCGGGGTCGCGGTGGCGGTCGGGATGGATCCAGCCTCCCAGTGGACCTGATGCCACAGCGGCCGACGGACACCCCGCCGAACCGGTTCATGTTGAACCGACCGTCGGGCGGTCAGCCGGCCGGCGGTGTTCCCGCTCCTCGCCGCCCCCAGCAGCCCGAGTCGGCTGCGCCCCGGCCTCCCGTGGCGACCCGGGTCCGCCCAGCCAACCCCACCTGGAACCACCATACGAGCGCCGGTAAACCGCGCGGTCGGGGCCGCGGCCAGGCCCGCAGCGAGGCCGTGGAACCCGACTATATCGCCTGGACGGCGTCACCAGAGCCGGAGCCGGCGGCGGACGAGGCGGCCGAACCGCCGCCGGTGAGTGTCGCCGGCTCGCCGATTACGTCACCGATGGCGTCACCGAGCCGCCCGTCGATGGCGTCACCGACGCACCAAACGATTACGTCACCGACAGGTGGAGAGGAGCCGATCGCTGAGGAGAGTGAGGCCGGTAGCGAAGATCATGAGCCGGTACCAGCCAAACCAGGTGAGTGTATGTATGTGTTTTAGAAGCTTCTAAGCTGTTTGGTAGCTTTTGCGATCATCATAGACATGGGAGGTATCTTTTGTGCGATAGGTGATTAGAGCTAATCCATTAGTGGATCTAAAAACACATATTTTGACACATGTTCCTATTTCGAAGCATTAACGCTTATCTGTTTTCTATCTGCAAAAAAAGTAAATCTGCTTATTTTGCCAGTAAATGGTCTGACTTCTGTATCATCACGTCACGATCGACACTGACCAAGCGCACGTCTCGTTTTCTTTGCAGACTCTCCCGCTCTCACCACTGAACAGCTGATCCTGCGCAACTGCGCGCCCAAGGAGCACTCGAGCCGCGCTAGCTCCACCGAGGAGCGCTCCTCGACCGAGTACGACCTCATCGATATCGTGCTCTGCGTCGAGGAACCCGAGGAGGACCCGCGCGCCTCGCTCGTGCGCTCGGCTACCTCCAGCCCGCTCTTCAGCGATGCCACTGACACCCTCGCGTCAGTCGCAGCCGGCAAGGATGGACAGGGTATGGAGGGTGGTCAGGGCACAGGAGAGGTCCCGGAGGTCACTACTGCTACTGCGGCTAAACCGACCTGTGATGCGGCGAAATCAGCCTGTGATACAGCGAAATCGGTGCCTTCTGCGGCGAAGCCAACGTCATGTGATGCGGCGAAGCCAGCGCCTGCAGCGTCCACCGCGAGAGAAGCATCCTGTGATACGGCGGTGAGGTCGACTGGTGATGCGGCAAAACCGGCCGGCGATACGGCGAACTCATCTGGTGATGCGGCAAAATCAGCGCCGTCTGAGGCAAAGTCAACGTCTTCTACAACGAAGCCGGCGTCACCGGCGAAAGCTGCGACAAAGCCAGCACCTGCTGTGGAAAAACCGTCCTGCGATGCGGCTCAGTCAGCCGATGACAGGACAAAATCGGCGACTGCTGCGGCTAAATCAACGCCACCTGCAACGAAACCAGCTTCACAGGTGAAAGCTGCGACAAAGCCAGCTCCCACTTTGGAAAAAACCGGCATGTGGTCCGGCGAAACCAGCTGATGATGCCTCAGAATCGGCGCCCTCTGCGACGAAGCCTGCTTCACCGGTGACTGCTGCGACAAAGCCAGCTCCCACTGTGGAAAAACCGTCCGGTGATGCGGCGAAACCAGCTGGTGATACCTCAGAATCGGCAACGTCTGCGGAAAGGTCAACGCCTTCTACGACGAAACCGGCTTCACCGGTGAAAACTACGACAAAGCCAGTGTCTGCTCCCGAAAAACCGGACTCTGATGCTGGAAAACCATCCCACGATGCAGCAAAGTCGCAAGATGCTGCGTCAAAACCACCGCCTGCTGCGACGAAACCAGTCTGTGAAACGATTAAATCGACTACTCCTGCACAACCGGCTTCTCCTCCGACGAAGCAAGTGCCTGCCGAGGCAGCGGCTGGCAATGCGCCTGCTGTACCGGCCCCAATGGTCTCCGAGGAAGGCGAGCCAGAAAAGGTCAGAAGTTCGCCTCAAAAGCAGGACACGATTCGGTTTACCCCCGAAAAGGCAGCAGGGAGCACCCCGGCTCATCAAGCGGTGAAGACCACTACTGCTACACAACAAGTTGCAGTCGCCGCCACGGCGGTAGAACAAAGCAAGCAGATTGATAAGGAGACAAGTGTTACCAGTGGTACCAAAGAAACCGGCAGATCTTCCCCGGTAGTCGAGAAGGCAAAGGCCACTCAGAAGACTACGGACCAAGCTACTACGGGTACTAAGAGAGCGGGTGAGGACATATCGCCCGCTGCAAAGAAGACGGATACAGGGAAAGTCGCAGCTGTTTCTAAGGACACTGAAACAGTAAAGAAGACACCCACTGTCACCCAGAGTGCTGATACTGAGAGGGCTTCCGCAGCTGGCAAGGTAGCTGATACAGAGAAAGCCTCAACTGCCCATAAAAAGGCGGAGACAGAGAAGGCCAAGGATGGTGAAAAGAAAGCACGGTCTGAGAAGACCGCTAGCAGCTCTGGGGATGTAGCGAAAGAGAAGGAGAAGTCCTCGACGGTTTCCAAGGGAGTAGAAACAAAGTCGACCCCGACAACTTCAAACAAAGTTCAAGCTGAGAAGGCATCTGCGGTCACCAAGAAGTCAGACTCTGAAAAGGCCGTGACTGCTCCGAAGAGTGCTGAGACGAAGAAGACCTCCACGGCACCAGAGGCCGTATGCAGGGAGAAGACCAGCTCTAGTGGGAAGCCTGCTTCTGAGAAGTCCGAGGGTACACATTCACATCATAGGAAGTCAGAAAAGAGTCCCACTCATGCTAGGAAGCACGAGTCTGAGAAAACCAAATCCACCGAGAAGCAGGTAGACAAAGAGTCATCAGTCCGGAAGGATTCAGGCAAACATCAGAACGTCATGAAATCTAGCAAGGACCAAGGGGAAAGCCATAAACCTTCTGAGGCTAAGGATAAGGAAAGAAAACATTCGGGAAGTTCGAGAAAACAGGACCATGTAACAGAAAGTGCCAAGGAGGTAGACCACTCAAAGACGGTCTCCAAGGAAACTGGAGTGACGAACAACGCTCCAAAACGCGCCGACCAATCAAAACAGTCCTCGGCGACTCCCGCGACCAAACCTGCGTGTCCCACTCGACCGCCGCCGCCAGCCACACCACCTTCTGCAGCGGCCAATGGACGGGACACCACTTCCTCTCCCAATAAACCTAGCGCCGCATCGGAGCCGCCATCGAAGTCGTCACTGCCGACACCTCCTCCGGCTCAGACACCTCCTCCTGCGCAGACTCCGCCACCTCCGCCGACGACCCCACAGCCTGCGGACGGAGTGTCTGGCTCTCCAAAGCGCGCTAGCGGCCATCTTGCCGTGGAGTTTTGCGTGCTCTGCTGGTCGGACAGCGGGCAGCTGGTGACCTGTGGTCCGTGCGGCCGGGCCTTCCATCGTGCCTGCTACATCGGAAAGCTGCCAGGCGATCTGAGGTGAGCGACACGCCGACGGTGACTGTGTCAGACCAAGGCAAAGAAAATGTTGTTAATTGTTTCAACAAACACGGATCTTTATTAATCGGTGATCTAGCTTTCCTCACAAACAACGAGGCTTTACCATTCTACTGCTGTTATTTTTTAAAGCGGTCTGAGACCTAACTGTGTGAACCACAGATGTCCGGGGACATAATCACAAGCTATTTTTGCCACATTTCATAAATTTTCCCACCTTCAGGTGTGCCAAATCTCTAAAGATGCCTGCTCGTGACGTGCAACTTCCCAAAAATAAAAACCCTTGCACCGTGCACACTCGACATCGCCTTCTCTCACCACCACGTGTGCCTCCACCCGCAGCGACCAGTGGCAGTGCTCGCTGTGCGTCCCTGCGCCGGTCCTGCCGTCGCCTCTCGCCGCCGGCTCCAGCTCCGGGCTGGGGGATCAGGAGGCGGCCGTGGCACGGCGTCTCCTCGCCGAGCTTTTCACGGCATTCTACCCATCCATCCACTTCCAGTGTCTGGAGAGTATGGCGGTGAGTCGTGGTTTGACGGTTGGTTCGTGGCTGTCACGGCCATGGGCGGGATATAAGCTACTTGTTACTTGCTTGTATGGTTGATAAGATATCATTGTTTTGTGTATTGATTCAGTTCACCACTACAACTACGTATGAGCGGCTACCAGTATGTTGATGAACATTTTATTTTGATTTTGTTTCCATCTAATGCTAGACCAATATTAACTGATGGCAAAAATTGTTTCTTTATGCTACTAATTGGTGTTTATGTCTCACGATCCTAACTATCTTACCCCGGTATTTTCAGTTGAAAAAGAGTCAACGGAGTTACACACGTGCGTGGCTAAAGATCATCTCGACCGAAGTGAAGCCTCTGATTGAAAAGGGCCTCACCAGGCAGAATGCCTACCATGCCGGCGTCCTTCATGTCTGCCAGCGGTACAAGGTATGAAGGGCTCAGGAGGACCTGTCGGGAGCGTATGAAAACCGTTAAAGCTGATGCAGTTGATACTATTGACATTGTCATCATAGGCACGCGAAAATGTAATACCTGAGGTCAGTTTGTCAAAATTCATGACGACTTTTCACGATTGAGAAGGAAATGGATGACAAACATCAGTGTGTTGGCCATTTTCGTCGTGTCTTTGCACCTGTCACTGGGATTTGACGCTTCCCTCGTCGTTTCAGAGGATGCCACAGTTCCGTGGCATCGCGCGTCCGCCAGCCCTCGACAAAATCAGGGAGCGCCTGCTCTCGAATGGGTTCAGCAGCTTCCCAGAGTTTATCTCCGCGCTAAGGAAGCTGATCGCCCAAAACCCGAGCTTACAGGTCAGTAGCCACCTTTTAAGGTGTTAACGTGTCGGGTTGTGGTAGGCTTTTGATGTCAATACATACACACATACGTTATACTTGTTAACATTTGAAAAGGCCAATATTCAGGAAAAGGTTTGAAATCATCTCGTAACTAATACCCCTGTTGGGACATTGTTTTGTGGGTGGGCCGTCAACAGAAGCATGAGAAAGACTCGTAACGACGCCTATTTTGCGGCGTAATAACACGCCAAGCAAATCAATAGTCGAAACGTATTTTACATCGTTCAGAAGCTTTGTTTTGTTCACCTGCCCCACTCGGGTTCATGTCGCTGCGTATCTATCTAAAGACTGACGTTTTCTTGCTATCCCACTCTCAGAAAGAGCCGCCTGTGCACAAGCATTTGAGGCGACTGGAGAATGTATTTGAAGACAATCTTCAGAAGCTGATCCCAGACTGGCGTGCCGTCCTGGACAAACAGACAGTGGCCTGAACAGCTTTGGGGGCGACGTGGAGCTGATATGCCATCGGTGCTGTCCTCTGCAGTGCAGCGGCTTCACAAAATACTTAGTTTCCTCGTCTCGGTGGCTTCAGTAACAGCGACCGATACTTGGTAGCAGCTTCCAGGAATATCTCTTACTTTTCAACCGGAGCTTCCGTCGTCTTGCCAAGTGAACGAAACTTCACACTAACTGTCGTAAGGAACAACCTTGGCTGTTCCGAACTGATGAGAAACTGACGCCTCTGAAATCGGTGATCTGATCAGGATCTGAACGGACATGAACAAGGTACGAAGATGAGGAACTCGAAGCCACAAACGCGCACAAAACCCACCGAGCAGCCGGGTCCAGCCGTGCTGGCTGTACTGCAGGTGCTACTCCCGGTGGAAGTGTCGTCCACCGCTGTTCCGCCGCGAACTGCGAGTTATATTGTGTTGAAAATAACAGACGTGATAGTCAGGAGCGCCAAGTCGTGGCTTGATCCGAGCGCCGTTCCGACCCACCCCGTTGCAGCAGCAGTGTCTATAGGTCTCACGAACAGCTCTTCTGAAAGGTGACGGAACTGGCGTCCAGAGTAGCTGAGCTGAATGGAACATTGAGCACCCCACTGCTGCTGGCGGCGGGTCGGACGGCCTCGGCAGCCGACTGATGAAAATGTGCACAAAGCCAGGAACAATGTGAGGGTATTTCTGTTGTTATAATGCTCAGCGCTGGTGCTGTGATTGGGCCGCTGCTGGCTGCCGTTTTGTACCGTGCTTTTGCTACTGATGTTCGTGCTGAAGTGTCAGTGTTGCGGAGAAATGTCAATCGCGTACTGTAGTGTATTTATTTCATGTGCCATGATGTCGGAAGACGCGCTGGGTGGTTACCTAGTCGGCAATAAGCTCTTGCCGTGTAGGCTGCGGTCGTAGTGACTTACCCAGCCTTGTCGAGATATTACCGCTATGTTGAGGTGCTCAAGGGCGTGCAAAGACCACTCCCCACTGGCTGCAGACAGAGACGGGTCCGCTGTTGGCAGCGATTGCTGCACGTGCCACCAATTTCTCACAAATACCTCATTGCCGGCACATCAGCAGACGTGTCGGTCCAAATTCCGAGCGAACGCTCAGCCTTGCACGGTAAACGATGTTGGTTTACTAGTCAGCCGTTCAGTGGTGCCGTGACGCCCACTCGAGGATCATGCGCCAGTGCCAGGAAGTCGGTTCTTGCACAGCCGCTGTGATATTAGCCAAGGACATGATTTGCGTTGTAGTTGTCGTTTTTTACTTGTGATTGTGTGTTGATCGTGAAGTGGCATTTTGTGTGTGCTCTGCGATTGTCGCTCGATGGAAAGGCCCCGGTGCACAAAAGTTGGGCCGATTGTGCTGGTGATCGCTGACAATGCCGAAATCTCGAGAGAACCTTTTTTCATGACGAGGGCCATTCAGTTGATGCATTTTGCATCTCTGAAATACATTGGTGCCCCGATTTCGTGTGTGTTATCTGCCAATGCGAGCAGTGTGATGGCTAGCCAATCGGCCCAAACCAGAGCGGCTTGATGGGTGTACGATAGGGCTTCATCGTGAGGGAGACAATCGCCGTTTGGGGTTGCCTGGGACCCTGTAAACGGGCGCCATGGCCTTGAGGCCATAACCCGTGTGCCTAATCCACAAGGATAGGCAAAGCTGCACCGGGATGGTCACCTACGGTGTCTTGACCGCATAGGATGCCTTTGCTAAAGTACAGGCTCTAATTCCCTTTGCCTCGGCTGCTTCGTCCGGGAATAACCATGCGTGCCCTGCATGTTCTGATAGCATGGCATGGGTCGCCGGGATGGTTGAATCCCTCGGGATGGGAGGATATGCCACATCCCGGTGGGCCCAACTCCCTGAACGATTCACTGATCGCAGGGATGTCGAGGGAAGCCGACGGGACAAACTCAGTTTGGGTCGCTACTCGCTGAGGTTTTGGATCGTCCGTTCTGGGTGGGTCTCCACTGACGAGCCAAAAATGTGGATCGCATCGCATCGCCCATCGCAAGTTCCACGATTGTGGATTAGGCTCAGGCTGACAGTACAGCTTGTAGCTGAAAAGGACCGGGTGTTCAATAATGACATACTCTGACACCCAATCCCAGTCGCTCGGAGAGCATTTCTTGCGACTGTGGGACCACCCCATATTCGTGGGGGGTTGAAACGGTTGTACACGTTTCAAAAACTTGGTAAATCACTGATTTACCATGTCAGAGTGCTCCATCTAGAGTGGTGGTGGTAACATCACCTCACACTAAATGGAGGACATTGAGCGCCGGCCATTTGGCCCGCTCGAAGTGACCTCGGTACGTTTCGGGGGAGTCGGCCGCTGCCAGCGCGCCTCTGCGGTGGGACGGCCTTGGCCCGACCCCCGAGCGGCCCTGGCACGACCCTGGGAGGCTCAAATCCGCCCCCGGGTGGCCCAGCTACTCATACACCAAACTTCGCTGCCAGCGACGTTTGCGTATGGTAGCGTAGCGAGGCCGTACGGTAGACGGTGTTCCTGATGTTACGCATCAGGAAGCAGTGGTGAAAGTTAATGACTTATGGTTGGCCTGTTACTAACATCTGTTCATTGTGACGGGATGGTTGGGTTTGTAGGCCAAGGTACCGTATGCTTGTTGGTTGCATGCTCTCACTCGCAGACTTCTCTATATATATATTGAGAAGTCTGTGTCTCACTGCTACTAACGCTAGCTGTAACTAACGTTAGCTACTAAAGACCTTCCCTAACTAAGTGGGAAGGTCTTCTATTCTCGCCGTTCCTCGATTCTTTTAGGTTAGTTTCCGATGTTCATCGTTTAGGGGTATGTATAAGGGCATATGGAACAATGGGACCATGTAGGTAGTAGCAGTCGCCTTCAACCAAGTAGCGGAGAAAGGACATGTTACAGGGTAGGCTAAGCTTTTATAACGGGGTAACGAGGTGGTGGTTAGAGATAAGCACAGATCTGTGGGTAGTGGTTACACCTGAACCTTTTTCAGAAGGTTGCATATCGGTGGTTTGCGGTAGCGGCAGAAACCGGCAGATGGCCAAGCTAACGGGGTTGGGGAAAGGAGGACGGTCTGATAGAAGGATAAGGTAATCGGGTTAGCATCCGTACTAGCATGCAAGCGGTGCTGCCTCGATCACCAGAGCTGTGCACAATGCACAATGCAGCGCACGTTCTGTGCCTGTGCAAGTGCGGTTACAGAACTTCAGCAGTGTTTCGTAACACGGCCTATGTTCGGGGTCGGCTTCACGCCAGTGTACCAGATTTACGCAGTGCCTTCGTCCGGCCCGGGGGTGTCGAAGTCTAGTAGGAAAATCTGGCAAATTCCCTGCGTGACGTCACGTCGGGGATGACCGACGGCACCTTGCACTGAAAGATACGGCAGAACGGCTATTTTTGAAAAATGATTAAAAATACTTTTGTGCTGTTATGACGCATAAAACGCTTATCAGCATGTTCCTCATCATGTGATAAAGGCATATCCGTGGTCGAAAATAGCTGAGCCCCTCCCAATTTCTAACCACCGACCTCATAAGCAAAGGATGTAAGCGTAATCCTTAAGGGCGACTTTCCTATACATATCCGTACATATGCGTCCTTATGGAAATCGGTAGTGTGGCGATTGGCGACGCGCGCGACATCTGTGTGGCGACCAAATGGCGACTGTGGCGACACCTGGTGGCTGCTTTTCTGCTGTATGTAGGCATTGGGGTTTTGCCAGATGTGGTTCCTACTGCTACACCACTATGTTGACCCAATACTAGAAAAGTTATTTTGCTAGTAAAAGGCAAGCAAATTGAAAGTTGATTTATAAAATTGCTTATAAATGATTACGAGATAATAATAAAGAAATTTTGATTGAATAATTATTTAAATAATCAACCGTGAAACTATATTCTGGTAGGTTTAGTAGAAATAAGTCCGTGCAACCTTGTATTTAGGGCCTTGCGTCCGGCCAGTGCGTGCAGTGCCTTCGCTCGGGAACCGCGTTCCGGGCTGATGACCGGTGATAACCCGTCTAAATAAAACTCCAACTCAGTGGTGCAGGAAACGCGTTCCAAATACAAGCCAAGGCTATAGAACTCCAGGTAAGGACACCAGCCGTTTGACCTTGAACGCCGCCGGCCGGCCGATGACGTCATTGGAGGCAAGCCGGCTCGGCGGACGCATCGGGCAAGCGTATAACGGAGGAGCGTTGGGACGTTGCGGGAGCCGGGGAGAGATTTTAAAGCGTTTTTTTTATGCATACCACCATTGTTATGTTGATTGATCTAGACTGCATTCTTATAAAGCTCGACGCATCTTAGGCCTGGATGGTGCGTACATTCGTAGAACGGTCCGACGTCCGTGGTCGAAGCTGTCTACTCTATATGTACCAAAAGACGCCAAGACCGGTGCAATAACGGCGACCCGATCCCGTCTCTGGCGATTCTAGGACTCGTTAAGACCCAGGCCGAGTCTGACCCGTCTATTTTAGGGAAACGGGGTGGGTGAATTGACAACCGAATACCGATGGTTAGAGTGGATCCCGTCGTCGAGCGATGGTTGATTGACAGACAACACATGTAGTGGGTGGGCGGATAAGCATCAGGGATAATGCCTGAACGTAGGCAAGCATAATTGGTCTGCCATATTGTTTAGGAATGTAAAATCGTAACGGAGGTCCTTGAGGATATGATCTTTACATTACGAGGATTCGCAACCAGTGAAATTACTACTGTTAAACCCTCGGTCCCGGGCAACTCCGGGGAGCTGTAGTATCCGGCGGCCACCTCGTCGACTCGCAGGTCCTGTGGGCTTCCGTGATACTTCAGTGCTTCACACATAGAGGCACAGGTAGAGCAGTAGGATGTGGGATGTGGTGTCTGTACGCCTCTTCATTGTAGGCACGACGTATACAGCGCCCGGTCCCGCCGAAGCTCGATAATCGACCGTGACATATTCTTAACTGGCGGATCCAGGAAGCGGTCTTGAACACATCGGGGGGGGGGGGGCATACCTTAAAAAAGTTTCTGTGAATTAAAAAAAACATCGGATTTCGATTCCTTGCGCACTACTGTGCAGTTCGATCAATAAAATTTTCCTCAGAAAAGTTGTGAAGTTTTCGTTTTGTTCTCGAAAAACGAATTCGGACGCTGCCCCGGATGTGGGCCTGTGGGGGATAACATTTGCCCCAAACGCCTTCCTTTGGATCCGCCAGCGGGCTGCCCCACCCTGAGCTTAACTAAAAAGTAAAAACGTCTTAAAATCCCACCAGAGAGCCCGATGGTAAGGTCAATTCAAATCCGATAAATCATCTGTCTGTCCGCCTAAATTACTACGCACCGTACGGCGCCCGGCCCCGTCGGAGCTCTGTTAACCGACCGTGATATTTTTGGTTTTCCCCCATCCCAAGCTCCATTAGAAACGTTCTCTCTCCCCATCAAATTGCTCATGATGTCATTTCAAATTCAATACCTAGGTACCGGCTACCTCATCTCTGTCTGCCCGCCCATTCATTGCACACCTTACGGCGCCCGGCCCCGCCGGAAGGATCCTAGCGCGCTGAGTGGTTGCCTCCAGCCGCGTCATCGCGAGGCCCCGCGAGGCCCGTAAATGAATACATTGCGTGAATAGCCGTGTCGCCCCCCTGATACAAGCTAAGGACACGGAGCTCTCTAGTTTGGAGGGAAGTGCATGCCGAGGGGTGGCAGCGCGCACGCTCAAGAAATCAGGGCGAGTGCTACATGACCATAAGCTTTTCGACATATCGCATCCGAACGATGCAGACGAGTAGAATGTGTGCCCTTGGCCGTACATTTCTCGTTAACGATTTACTCATTTGCGGGTGACATGATCGGACGATATGTAACTGGCCCAGGTGTAACATATCAAAATGCGAAGGATGAGGACATCACTTTTCCATGGCGAGCACCATAGGCATACAACTGTACGCCAGTGGCATCATTCCACAAGGCACAATCCACATACAGCCTGGCGAGTTCTGTGGCCTTCCAATGTCGTCAAAAATGCCTAGACGGAATGCAATTGGAGCGTATTATACGAAGCACCGATACATGCACAGACGCACGCATATTCGATAAAGTTGCACGCCACTCGCCAGCGATAAAAAACTTGTCCGTTTGTCGTATAGACATTTATTAGTTAACATTACACGAGTTAAAATCCAGAAGCGTACCGTACATGCAAAGCATAATATACTATGCATATTGTGCCTTTAGTGATCACTGGCTGGTTTCTTATTAAATAGTGTAGTGAGCAGTCTATATTATGCATGTCATCGCCCGTCTTATCAGACCGATGTACAGGTCTCGCGGGTTTTAGCGGTAGGTTTTGCACCTAGAAAATTTAGTGTACTTCAGGCTATATCTTCGTCGTCTTAAGCTTTTAAGTGCTGAAGATGCGATCGACTTGTTGGGTAACAAGCCGGCCATGATCGTGTAAAATGGCTTCATCGTAGATCGATTAGTTTCTGAGATATAACCGGAAATGTAAAAGTGCAAAACCTACCGCTTAATCTCGCGAGACCTGTACATTCCACATGTGTAGGAAACTAGCAGCAAGCATGCCTTCCACCCTGAGACGATTTGATTGCAAAAACACAAGATTTCGTAGCTTGGCGACCGATTAGCATTCACCTGTAGGCATATTCCGAAAACACGTCTTTTGTGTGCTCGGCGCTCGCACGCAAATGCCTTTCATCGTAGTATAGTATAGTAAGCATGAAACTGCAATTGATTGCCAGTCGCGGTCTTTCCCAGAGTTAACTTCGCAAGCACGCCAGTCGCCAACAGACAAACTTTCGTTACGGAAAAAAACGACAATCCCACATTCACGCTCGCCTCGAGAGCAATTATATGGCAAGGGAAATCAAACCACCCCACACATAGGTACTGAGAAGAACCGCAAATGACATCCATGCACCATGAAACGTTAAATACGCTGTTAAAATTAGGTCACCTATTCTAATAATATCACTTACCACCGAATTGCACGTAAGTACGACTTAAAATAAAGACCGCTACAAAGTACAAGATAAATAAATGACGGCACTGAGTCCGCAAGGTTGAAATCCACATTCAGTAGAGCCTAGTGCTATGATGGCCAAGATCGCAACTACGAAAAGTCGTTATCGTCGATGCAATGATCGAGCGCAAGCATGATAACGGAGTCTCCAAAGCAAAATTACTGTAATCGTCTTATGATATAAGAATTAAGATCACCTTACAGTAATAAAATAAAACGGAAAACATTGCAAGAGATGGCTGCTTTTAACACTAGTACCATGAAGCCGATAAAATATAATAAATATCTAACTTAAAAGTAGGAACAAGATAAAGATAAAACAGACCTACGTAATGCACATTGAACACTGAACAGTCAAAAATACAGCCAGTGAAAATGCTCGGGAGATATAGCTTAAACTAAACACAAGACGTCAGGAAGAAGAACATCTTCATCACTTCGTAGTACAGCGAGCTGAAAGCTTCCCTTATCGACGCAATAGCTCCATTAGCGACACGGAAGACCAAGCAAATCACTTTGCGCCACAGAACGCACAGTGAACAACGGCTACCACGTTCTTCGTGCACACACTTAACATAACATTCTGGTTTGACATTATATCCGCTCCACCTCCCACCTCTCTCCGGGCGCTCAGTCCGGTCTGGAGGCCAGGTAGTCCAGCCGGGGCACGCAGGCGCGCGCGCGGCGCACCACTGCACCCCAGAGCGTGTCGTGCTCCCCTTCCCGCAGCATGGATCCCCAGACGGTGGAGTGTCGCAGCGAGGTCGGCTGGCCGCTAGCACAGCGCACGCCGTGCTCCGCCTCTAGCTCTTCACACACAGCCAGCGCGTGACTGCGCGTATACATCCGAGTCGGGTGTACGTCGTACGCCAGGTTGTCGCCGATGTACACGCACATCGGGTGTTCGGTGGCGGTTTCACGCTGTAGGAACGAGTACAAGTCGGCCCAGCTGCCCTGTGAGTACACACGGCCCGGGCGGAGCGCTTCGGCCGGTACCACGGCACCCTCACGATCGTATGAGTCGACCGACAGAAACGGTGCACGACCTGTGAAGAACCGAGGCTTGCATGCGTATGTGACGACCACGTCGAAGAACTGGAACCAGTCGGCGCCGAGCGCCAGCTCGGCCATGTGCCGGGCGTAGTCGACGTGCGACGAGGTGACGAGGAACAGCAGTTTGCCGTCTCGCCGCAGCTGCCGCAGCAGTTCCAGCACGGCCGGACTGCATGGGTGCGCGATGGCCGTCGTGTCCGCCCGCAGGCGGCTGAAGAAGCCGTCCTGATCCTGTGCGAACTTCTCCCGGTCGTACATGTGGCGCAGTCCGGACTGAGCGGCGGCACAGACGGTGGCGTAGTCCGCGCCCGGCAGTCGGCCGGCATCCACAGCATCTACCAGTGAGGCTGCCGCCAGCACCGCCGGCGCGTCGAAAAAGTCCCGGAAGGTGCGCAGCCGGCCGCACGGCGGATCAGTCACCGAGAGCGCCAGGTCTCGCGCAGCCGACGGGGCGCTGTGGGTGCCGTACGCATCGATCACCTCCTCCCGAGTCAGAGGCCGCGAGCCGTGTGTGGCGCGCAGAACAGCACCGTCATGACGCAGCTTCAGCAGGTTACCGCGCGGCGCGTCCAGGACGATACCCCGCGCGCACAGCCCCGAGCCGTCATCCATGTCGAGAAACACGTCTCCGGGGAACTCGAATCGTTCGATGAGATGTGGCACCAGACACTGCGAGTAGGCCATCTCCATGAGGGGCCGCACGCGGTACTGACATAGCGTATTATCCAGGTCGAAGCCAACACACTGGTATGGAGAGAAGTCAAAGTGCGTATCGCTGACGGCTTGTGAGGAGGGCCTGCTTCCCGGAGAGTGAAACACGGTTCCATCGGGCGTGTACTGCCACCGCGACTGTCCGCCGTAGCCGCTGCCGTTGCCACTCAGCCAGTGATAGGCGCTGGTGTGCGCCGGCCGACGGAGGGACTGCACCAGCGGAGAGAGACTGTGTCTGAGTCCCCGCAGGGCTCCAGAGAGACTGCAGATCATCACTGAAATGTTGCCAGCCTGCCAGGGCAGGGGAGGATATTAGCATGATGGCATGATGCCAGCCAATGACATATTATATCCACAGCTTCATCTAGTTTTATTATGAGACACTATTGATCATGTAGCTAAAATTTTCGTATTGGGGCAATGATAGTAAGAAACTGATTCCATGACAATTGAACCAGTAACAATTGAACCAGTAAACAACTGAACCAGAGACAACTGAACCAGTGACAACTGAACCAGTGACAACTGAATCAGTGGACAACTGAGCCAGTGACATCTGAACCAGTGGACAGCTGAACCAGTGACAACTGAACTACTGGACAGCTGAACCAGTGGACAACTGAACCAGTATGACATCTGAACCAGTGGACAACTGAACCAGTACTTAACTTGGCCCTTGCCCACATTGGTTAGCAAGAAAAGCTCACATTAAATCTAAATCATAATCAAACCTAACCTAACCTAATGCAACTGAACCTAGCCTAACACAACCTAAAACTAACCTTAATCTAACATAAACCTCAGTCCTCACCTAAACCTATGCTTAAGTATAACCTAATGTTCAGTGGCTATCACAAGTTCATATGTTTACTGGTTCAGCTGTCACTGGCTTGGTTGTTACTGGTTTAGTTGTCACTGGTTCATTTGCCCACTGGTTCAGTTGTTACTGTTTCAGTCTTCTGTGGTTTAGTTGTCACTGACTCAGTAGTCAGTCACCACTGATTCAGTTGTCTGTAATTCAGTTTTATTGGTTCAATTTTCACTGGTTTAGTGACTGTTCACCACCTCAAATATATAGAAGGCATCCATATAATCAGAGAATGAAAATGGCACAGAATTCTGAGGGAAGTCCAGGACCCAGCCCCCAGGTCTTCTGAAAAGGGTTCTAGTCGACACAGCATCAACACTCCACTCAGTTGACATGCCAGCTGCAAGCAACATGGGTGCTTGAGTAGGTATCTAACAGGCAGCTCAGCTCAAATTAGTTCAGCAATATAATAAACTGGACAGGAAACTACGAACAGGGCAGGCCGGTATTTCACAACACTGCACTGCAGCGCACAGCTGTATTAATACGGCTTTTGAGACAACTTCAGCATGAAGTTTCAGCTTTGCAAATGTCCGAGTTTGTTGATGCTTCCATGGAAACCCAGTAAAACGCTACACACAGCGCACAGCAGCAGTGCCGTGAAACTTGCGTTAAACACCGCCCACTGCCCAAGTGCCCACTGCCCAGGGCAGAAACTTACGCAAAAAGTGATGTTATAAAGCAGTTTTCAAAACACAGCTCCAACTGTAGGGATACAATCATTTGCAAGCAGACAAAAAATGAAATGGTCTACCACAATTCAAAGGTTCTTATACTTGCACATTGAAATAAAGGTACACTAGGTATGGTGACGCAAGCCCACGGTCCCTATTGCGTTCATTGGCATATAACATCCATCCCATGGGAACTTCGACAATCACCACATCACGGTATATTGATATAGAGAACCGATGCACCACATCATTGATGTAAACATTACATTATTATGATTATGTAACTAACAACCTTCCTCGCTGTTAGAGTATAATTTGACCGTACTCACTCCAATGTATTTTCTGTCTGTTCGACAGCACGGACAGCAGATTTCTGAAACTCCCAGGAAATTTCAAATGACGTCATATAGTTCTTCCAAGCAAATTTTGAGTTATTTTTTAATTTTTAATTGACTGTAAGTTTGATTTGCTCTCTTCAATTCAGATTCAGTATCTAAAAAATAATGGGTTTTAAAGAAAATCAATTGTTCCTAGAGTTTCTTTATAACCATTTTGAACATAAAAGGCTGCAGAAATCTTATTGAACACAAATCAATATTACAAGAGGTTTATAATTATTGCCTTTTTATATTATTGTTGAATATAAGCAAAAGTGACTTTTATTTATACTTCTTCTGCCAAAATAGTTTTTTGAAGCTGCATAACAGGAATAAATGAATGGATGTCAAATTTAATCGCAAATGAAAGCGGATGAAAACTTTTCTTTCATGGCACTTTTCATTCCCATAACGGCGCAACAGTGACAAGCACCGGTGCGCAATAGACGATAGTGGCGCTATTATTATTGGGTGCGGATTTGATTCCAGGACAAATCTTCGTATGGCATTTCTTCGTCGCGCAATTCTTCGTCCGCATTTCTTCGTCCGCAAATCTTCGTCGGCGCATTTATTCGTGTCGCATAACTTCGTCTCGCATTTCTTCGTAAGCGCAAATATTCGTAGCGCATTTTTTCGTATCCGCATTACTTCGTACGCGCATTTCTTCGTCAGGCATTTTTTCGTCCACGCATTTCTTCGTCTACGCAAATCTTCGTCCGCATTTCTTCGTCCACGCAAATCTTCGTCTGCGCATATCTTCGTCCGCAAATCTTCGTCCCCGCAAATCTTCGTCCGCAAATCTTCGTCCGCATTTTTTCGTCCACGCATTTCTTCGTCTACGCAAATCTTCGTCCGCATTTCTTCGTCCACGCAAATCTTCGTCCCGGCAAATCTTCGTCCGCAAATCTTCGTCCGCAAAACTTCGTCCGCAAAACTTCGTCCGCAAATCTTCGTCCGCAAATCTTCGTCCGCATTTTTCGTCCACGCATTTCTTCGTCCACGCAAATCTTTGTCCGCAAATCTTTGTCTGCGCATATTTTCGTCCGCAAACCTTTGTCTCCGCTATCTTCGTCTCCGCAAACATTCGTCCACAAATGTGGTTCAATAAAACCATGAAGAAATATCAGACCATCAAGTGATTGACGAATTTAATGCATGGAATGGATGATCGAAACTTTTGAAGTCAGGTAGATGAGGTCTGTCAGATGAAGCTATTGTATTTGGGAGCCGAGAATTGAAACATTCCATATCATTTGTGTCCCGGACATTCTTTTTTCGCGGTCGATGAATGACAATATTATCTCTTTTACCCTCGCCGGCATAGGCGGCGGAACGGGGAGGGCACCGGGGCACCGTTCCCCTCTTTAATTTTGGCCTTTTAAAGGGACCCTCCCACCTTAACATTAGATTTGAGTTGAGATAGCCAAAATGGGGTCCCTGGCTCACAATTACCGGTTTCGGCACTCACAACATCGAGCAATGTCTTAAATCCGAAATATTGAATTTCAAAATTGCAGCATTTTGATTCAGAGGGGCTAATGCTTAGGAATACCCCTCTGAATGTGTGACGTCAGCGCAAATATCTAACGATTTTTAAATGTTTGACTAAAACGTTTTGTAGCACGCGGTGGTATATGATATTTGCGCGCAACATCTGCCGCAAACGCCGCACTTCTAAAATAAAGTCGCTAGAAACAGCGGAGATCCCAAAAAAGTAAACAAAAGTAAAAGTCTAATATCTTGAAAACCGGTGAATATTTTTCGGTGAAATTTGGTAGCTATTCGTTTTCGCTCTTTCTGAACCGAGCGACATCACTTTCATGCCAATTCATAAACTTTTTTGAAGGTGGGAGGGTCCCTTTAACAGTAGCCCTATGGGCGTTGCATGGAAAGAATGGGACTAAAAGTCGACAGTGCCGTGCCCCCCCCCCTAATTGAAGGTGTTCCGCCGCTTCTGCTCGCCGGACCTATTTGTTTTCTACATACACGCCGGCCGAGGGGGGGGCGGGTACGACCCCCCCCCATCACCGTTTCGCCACTGGTGGAGCTAGCGCGTCGCGGGAAAAAACGAGCGTGTGCGCCGTTACGAGACGCAGAGATTAATACCCGATTTTAAGGCCTTCTAGGTCAGGGGTCGGCTTACGGCCCGCGGGCCGGATCCGGCCAGGTGGGTGACGGTTGGATCCGGCCCGCGACCAGCTGACGTCCGGCCCGCGGCTGGTATCAGCGACTTACATCGTGTTCCGGCCCGCGGTTCCTTCAGAAATCGACTCCGATATAAAAGTGACTTAAATGTGCTTTGGCACAATAGTTCTTCCTTCGCACACTTCATGAGTTTATAAACACCATTTGCGGGTGTTTTTGTCGAATTCTACTTCTAGACAAAACTTCCGCGGGCCGGACGTCAGATGGTCGCGGGCCGGATCCAACCGTCACCCTCCTGGCCGGATCCGGCCCGCGGGCTGTAAGCCGACCCCTGACCTAGAAGGCCTTAAAATCGGGTATTAACCTCTGCGTCTCGTAACGGCGCACACGCTCGTTTTTTCCGCGACGCGCTAGCTCCACCAGTGGCGAAACGGCGATGGGGGGGGGGGGGGTCGTACCCGCCCCCCCTCGGCCGGTGTGTATGTAGAAAACAAATAGGTCCGGCGAGCAGTAGCGGCGGAACACCTTCAATTAGGGGGGGGGGGCACGGCACTGCCGACTTTTAGTCCCATTCTTTCCATGCAACGCCCATAGGGCTACTGTTAAAATGCCAAAATCAAAGAGGGGAACGGTGCCCCGGTGCCCTCCCCGTTTCGCCGCCTATGCCGGCGAGGGTACAAGAGATTATATTGTCATTCATCGACCGCGAAAAAAGAATGTCCGGGACACAAATGATATGGAATGTTTCAATTCTCGGCTCTCAAATACAATAGCTTTACCTGACAGACCTCATCTACCTGACTTCAAAAGTTTCGATCATCCATTCCATGCATTAAATTCGTCAATCACTTGATGGTCTGATATTTCTTCATGGTTTTATTGAACAACATTCGTGGACGAATGTTTGCGGAGACGAAGATAGCGGAGACAAAGGTTTGCGGACGAAAATATGCGCAGACAAAGATTTGCGGACAAAGATTTGCGTGGACGAAGAAATGCGTGGACGAAAAATGCGGACGAAGATTTGCGGACGAAGATTTGCGGACGAAGTTTTGCGGACGAAGTTTTGCGGACGAAGATTTGCGGACGAAGATTTGCCGGGACGAAGATTTGCGTGGACGAAGAAATGCGGACGAAGATTTGCGTAGACGAAGAAATGCGTGGACGAAAAAATGCGGACGAAGATTTGCGGACGAAGATTTGCGGGGACGAAGATTTGCGGACGAAGATATGCGCAGACGAAGATTTGCGTGGACGAAGAAATGCGGACGAAGATTTGCGTAGACGAAGAAATGCGTGGACGAAAAAATGCTTGACGAAGAAATGCGCGTACGAAGAAATGCGGATACGAAAAAATGCGCTACGAATATTTGCGCTTACGAAGAAATGCGAGACGAAGTTATGCGACACGAATAAATGCGCCGACGAAGATTTGCGGACGAAGAAATGCGGACGAGGAATTGCGCGACGAAGAATTGCCATACGAAGATTTGTCCGGTTACGTGCGGATTTATATAGCCTTGGTGCGGATTGCGTTGTTTTGATTGAGTGTGAGAATTGGGGGCTGGTTTATTGCCGATTTGGCTGTGTTGGGGTTTCATCGAAAAATCTGGGTGAGTATTGATCTAATTTTTATAATGTTGATGACATTGGTAACTGACTTCGATGCATACAATAGGTAGGTACCTAGACGAAATCGATCATGATCAATTGCAATAGGAAAGTGATTTGAAAATAGAGAAACCCCAGGTCCCAGGCAGTGGTGCACATCATTTTTTTTTTCAGCTTTGAAAGTTGGAAATTAAATGATTTCAATTTTCAACCCTAGTTAAATTAGGTACTAGACTAACCTGTGGCCCAGACTGGAAAAAAATTCATGTTATGCCAAATATGTCTGTCATAGTAGTGGGATTGCGCCGAAAATTTCAGCGCATGTCCTGCGTAATTTTGCATGCGCTTAATTCAGCGCATGGCGGCAGCTGAATTTTTTGGTGCAGGGCGGCCGCATATTTTTTTTTTTGGTGAACGATGGCCACCGAACTTACCCTGCATCCGATGTCTCCTGGATGGCAAAAATTCTATGCCGTCCAGTCAATCATGTTCCACAACTGCAGCCGAGCCCCCGCCGACCTTGGACGGGATTGGCCGAACGATGTAGAATCTTCGTCGTCCGAGACATCGAACGCGGGGTTAGTGGGCACGCTGGTCACTCTAGCAGCAGATTCGCCCTGCGGGCGGCTCTGGAGAGGTTTCGGGGCGAGACGTCCCCGCCCCGGTCGTCGCGTGCTCAAACTGACGACCTGCCCTGAGTACTCAGCGGAGGAGCGGCCACCTAAACGAAGCCACAGTGTATATGGCGAGGCCTCAACCCTCGGAGTGGAGATAGGTATGGAAGACCTTGTTGAACATCGCCGAGCGTCGTTAAGTTGGTAATAGTGCAGTGGGTCCCTACTCCCTGCCCACTGCGGTATGGAGGGGAATGAGAGCGCGGACGACCTGGCGAAACAAGCGGCCGCCCCGCCCTCAACCGCCCGCTCGCTGATCAGGGCGGTTCATTGTGCGGCCTCGCATCGATGGCGCGACAGCTGGTCTGAGTCACTATTCAAGCTGCTCCTCGGGAGCACGCCGCCGCTCCCTATCCCCGGAGAGGTGCACCGGCAGATGGGGGCGGGCCACTGAAGCCGGTAGGTCCAGTACGTGCACCGAATCGGCTGTCTCCACTCCGCGGCGTGCCAGCAGTGCCTAGACAAGCGGTGCTTCGCGGCGCTCTGCGCCGTGTGCCGAGAAGAGGCTGATGTGCCGGAGCG